AACCTGCTGCTGTCTGTCGGTTTGTGCCAAAACCACAATAACTTTTCTCTACAGAATAACTGCTGAGAGTGTATTTTGTGTCACTTATTAGTTATTACTGGTAAAGTTTAGAAACTTCAAACCTGGCCAGAGGAAGACAAACGAAAGGTCGAAACGCTTGCAGTCGGTCGGGCGTGGTGGCTCACGCCTGTAATCCCAACACTTTGGGAGGCCTAAGAGGGCGGATCACCTGAGGTCAAGAGTTCGCGACCAGCCTGGCCAAAATGGTGAAACCCCGTCTCTACTAAAGATACAAAAAAGCCGGGCGTGGTGGCGCGCGCTTGTAGTCCCAGCCACCTGGGAGGCTGGGGCAAATTTGCTTGAACCCGGGAGGCAGAGGTTGCAGTGAGCTGAGATGACGCCACTGCACTCCAACCTCGGCGACAGAGTGAGATTTCGGATCAGAAAAAAGAAAAAGAAACGCCTACAGTTGGTTAGAGTGCCTTTATTTCAGAGCTTTTTATATTTTGCTGCGCTAAGGAAGCAGTGCTCCAGAAGCAAGTTGTAAAAGTCACATGGTCGCAGAGGAAGTAGATAAGTAGCCTTGTACGGGAGGCACAGTGCAGGATCCAGTCGCAATCTCGAGCATCGGGAAGCCGGTGCAGGGGTCCCGCATGGCCGCCACTAGTCACCACCTCTCCCACTCCATTTCTTTTTTTCCCCTCCACTCATCTGCTCCCTTCCTCTTGTTTCTCCACCTCACTCCTCAGCGCCTGTTCTAGGCCTGATGGGTTTTCTCAGTGTAGGGTTACTAAGCATATTGTTGATAGAGCCGATCGGGAGATTTTCGTGAATGAAGACGATGACAGTAGAATGACTTGAAGTAGTTTGGGAAGTTGAACCAAGTTTAGAAAGATAGCTGGTCTGGCTGGGGTGGGAGGGGCTGCGTGGAGACTGGGCCTGCAGAGACTTTGGTATCGGCTGGTGGACCTGGCTTTCCCAACTCCACTGCGCCGCCCTTGACAAGCCTGGACCACTTTCTCTGTTCCTGTTCCTGGACTGTGGAGCTGTGGGATAAGGCGTCAGGCCATCCACCAATGGTAGCTGGCAGGATTATCTGGAAGGATTATCAAATTAGAGTGAGATGAAAAAAGGAGTGATTAGTTTTGCGAAACCTAAATTAAGAATAAGGAGGTGATAGTTACATTATCGTGGAAAGGAACAGAAATGAAAAAAGGGCCGGGCGCAGTGGCAGGCACCTGTTGTCCCAGCTACTCCGGAGGCTAGGCAGGAGAAGCTCTTGAACCCGGAGGTTGCAGTAGCCGAGATTGCGCCACTGCACTCCAGCCTGGGCAACAGAAGGAGACTCTGTCTCAAAAAAAGGTGAAAAGAGGTCAAGAATCAGGTTTAACGAAGGGCACATTTTCGATAAGTAGATAACAGATTTAAAAAAAAATCCTTTTCATCTGGAATAGAGGGTAGCTCCTTCATTAAAATTTATTTTCTCCATGTCAACAAAGCTATTTCTGATTTTATCCAGGTTTTTAAATATGAATGCAGGCCAGGCCTGGTGGCTGATGCCTGTAATCACAGCACTTCTGGGAGGCCAAGGTGGGTGGATCACTTGAGGCCAGGAGTTTGAGACTAGCCAGGACAACAGCAAAACCCTGTCTCTACTGAAAATACAAAAAAAAAAAAAAAAAAAAAAAAAAAAAAAAAATCAGCTGGGCATGCCTGTAGTTCTAGCTACTCGGGAGGCTGAGGTGGGAGAATCACTTGAATCCAGCAGGTGGAGGTTGTGGTCAGTGGAGAGAACGCCACTGCACTCCAACCTGGGTGACAGAGCGAGACTCCGTCTCAAAAAACTAGTAATAAAATAAAAAATAAATATTAATGTAGCATTATGATACTTGTTAAGTGTCCCCTTCTGGAAAGCTTGTCTGCCTGGTATACACAGCTCAAGGTGGTCATACCAGTAGTCCTGATGTATTATTTTCTCTGAAACCTGTGGGTAAAGTTTATCAACTCCAGAAAAGCACTCGAACTTGGGTCCTGACATCTGTTCCATGGCCTTTTGTTCTGATTCAGTGTTTGCTTGGTACTGCAGTATGCAGGGTACACTTTGCGAGAGTGAAGGTTACAGCTGGCTAGGGTCAGAACCAAGGTGTCCCGAGCCTTGGCTTTTTCCTACATCCATAGCATTAACAAAAACAACAAAAAAACCTAAAAAATTCCTCACTGAGGTTGCCAAATCTGTTAACTTTGAAACTGAATGTCTGATTTTAAGAGACGGGGTCTGGCTCTGACCCAGGCTGGAGTACGGTGGCTGTTCACAGCGGCAGTCATAGCACACTATGTCCTAGAACTCTTGGGCTCAAGAGATCCTCCTGCCTCGGCCTCCCAAGTAACTGGGACTATAAGTTTGCAACTATTCCCAGCCCGAACGTCATTTTAAACAGATTTTCTTGAGCAGCTACTTAATGCTAGTTAGCCATTCCTAAGCCTGTAGGTCTTGACTAACGTGAGCATATTTGTGACTACCCAAATTCACGTCTTCCATTATTAATATGTCAGCTAACAACTGTGAAGCTACTTTGGGCATATGAGAAACAGGAGTTTTAAAGACCCAAGCAAGAATACATCCCCCGTGTTTTCACCCTCAGGGACTTGAGTTAGTTGCTTAGCAGCTATTTGGCCCAGCTTTCTCGAGGTAGGCTGTGAGCCGCCTTCTGCTCAGCAGTCCGTATGGAGCAGCAGCCGCCCCAGGAGGTGAGTCACTGGCCTGCTACCACCAAGGAAGACACAGTACTTTCCAAGTTGTGCAGAGTTTTGGTGGGTAAGGATGGTTTGGACATATGGGTTTAATTTTCTTGAAGTTATTGTTTCTTTATAGTATAATTGGTTAAAAGATAAGGAGATGAGTGTTGGGTACCAGCCCCAACCCCGCACATGGGTGCCCTTAGTCCCGGCAGTGATGAGGGATTGAGAAAAGGAAATAAAGAGAGCCACAAGAGTAGAATTTATAGCATGGGTCCAGGGGACCAGCGCAAAAGTGGGAACCACGTTGGCCCTGAACTCGGCTCCAAACACTTTTATTATGTGCATAATCTCATTGATCTTACGGGTGTGGGAGGGTGAAGGGATAGGTAAGATGGGGGGGGGGCACTTGAGATCCTTCTAAGACATGCTAAACTGGTGCTCTGAGTTTATCACCAATTGTTATCAGGGTGCAGCTGCATCAGAACTTTAGCGAATGAGGAACCACCCGGTCTGACCACACCCAATAAATCAAGGGGCTTCTGTCTCCGGAGGATTAAGGAAATAGAGCAATTAAAATCACTCCATATTCTCAGAACCTAGGCTGAGCCTGAGGTGTTCTGTGATCTCTGCCCTGCAAGGCTTTTCTCCTCCTTCCCAGTTCCCATCTGCAAAGACCCTCCCCGATCTTGTGATCTTGTGAGCAGAGGTCACCTCCCTTCTCCGAGATCTTTGACCAATCCCTCTTTACGAGGCCCTCATACAGTCTCCATGTTGAGAAGGCATTCGTGGGGCCATAGCAGTAATTCCTGCTCTGCAACCACCCCTCGGTGTTCCCTGGTGTTACTGCGCTCTCGGATGGTCTTTACCTTAGGCCTCCTGTTGCTGCTTGATTTCTAATTAACTGCACCAATAATACGGTTTAGTTCGTGTACTCTGAGCCAAGCAAGCTTATAATTATTCAGCTAGAATTAACATGGGTCTCCCCTTGGCCATCTTGACCCACAGGTGAGGTTATCAAAAGGCAGTAGATCCCGACAGCTTTTGTAAATGGAAAGAGTGAAATCCCCGTGCTGTCTTCATAGCGCGGTGTGTGGAGTAGGAAGCACCTGGGTACTGGGTACTAAACAGCTTTCTCATCTGCCATGCCACAGGGAGGACCAGTTGGAGAGGCTGCTTTTGGCTGTCAAACTTTAGTGTAAAAATCACTTTGTGAAAAATGCAGGTTGTCACCTCCTTCCTCCAAGATTCTGATTCTGTCTCAGGATCCAGGAATCTGCATTTTAACACCTACACCAGGAATTCTGATGCACAGGGTTGAGCAAAACTGACTTAGGGTGTACGGACAGAGGGATGGCTTAGTGGGGTCATAGTTGGGTCTGACTGCTTGGGTCAGTTCGAGGAGGAGGAGGCTAAAGGGGACTTGAACTGAATTCTCCACCTTGTATATTTTTCAAGGAGAAATGAGGTTAGAACAATCAGGTGATGGGGCTAGTAATGGTCAGATCCATAAGGAGAGGGGAACACAACCCTTTTAGCTAGGAGATGATGGGCAAGAGTCCATGCTTTAGGGTCATTCTTCCTCAGCAGAAGGGTGCATCTTGCTATACTGCTAATATTTTGGTTTATTCATTAGTGTCTCCCCTCTAAGCTGTTGCGCTATCAGGTAAAAACAGATCCATGAGTGGATGGGGCCTTTGTTGTAGAAGATGCAACACTTTTTGCAATGTCCATCTGTAGAAGCCACTGGCCAATTTAAATTAATTGAAAATAAATTAAAATTGAGTTCCTTAGTTGTACTAGCTGCATTTCACGTGTTCAGCAGACACAGGTGGCCAGTGGCTACCTTATGAGACAGTGCAAATGCAGAACAATTCCGCCATCACAGACAGTTCCATGACATAGCACTGCTCTAGAGAGTGGAGGGGAATTCAGTGGGAAGGCCGTCCAGGGAGTAGGGAAGTCCGATTGAGAATGGAGAGCAGGCCGGGTGCGGCACTTTGGGAGGCCAAGACAGGTGGATCACGAGGTCAAGAGATTGAGACCATCCCAGTCAACATACCCTGTCTCTAATAAAAATACAAAAATTAGCTGGGCATGGTGGCGCGTGCCTGTAATCCCAGCTATTCAGGAGGCTGAGGCAGGAGAATTGCTTGAACCCAGGAGACGGAGGTTGCAGTGAGCCAAGATCGGGCCATTGCACTCCAGCCTGGGTAGTAAGAGCGAAACTTCGTCTCAAAAAAAAAAAAAAAAAAAAAAAAAAAAAAAAAAAAAGAATGGAGAGCAGAAGGCTCCCCTTACAGGGTTGGAAATGCAGATGTGGCATGCGGGAGATGCAAGGTCCATGTCTTCACCCTTGCCCTTCCCTTCGTCCACCTCTTCCGGGCCTTCGCCACTGGTAATCCAGCAGTAGCCGCAAACTGAATTTCAGTTCTCCCGTAGGACTCAATTCTTTGTTTCAGAAAATATGTGGAAAAACATTTTCTGCATAACAAAGCAACTTCGTGTTTCATTTTAACTCCATAATCACAGATCTATGTTACTCTAGGTATATTTTGCAGTGAACGCATTTGCGTACTATTTTCTCCATTTCTGTTTGTTATTTTGCAGGTCGAGTTGGGGGGGAGAAAGCATAGAGCTGTTAATTTATAGTTTATTAGTAAGCAGTGTTCTTTAATTTCCTTCTCGTCATATACTTTGGCTTTTAAACTAATCAAAACAGAAGGGTCTTAGAGTTTGGGAGTTGGAAGGAGGATGGGAGTTCCTACTATATTTTACTGCCACAGTAAAAAATAATTAACAAAAATCAACTTTTTTTAATAGGCGGGAAACAAAACATGACAGAAACAGATGCCTTCTATAAAAGGTAAAGCTGTGCTCTTCTCTAATAACGGTCTCTTCCTTTGATGGTCATGGTCAGCCTCCAGAAATAAAAGCAAGAATGGGTCCTGGGCGCTGGAAAGTAGAACTGAGGAGGCCAAGTTTTAGCTTTGGGGAGGTGATTTGTAGATAGACAGCTTGTGCTGCCCCTGGTTGTCGAGCGACCTGGAGTGATGTTCAGAATACGTATTAATTGGCACAGCATGAGCCTAGAGCGAGAGCTTGGTTCTGAGCCACGTGGTTATTCCTGGTTGCTGGACCTAGAACTTGGAGGGGCTCATTATTTAATATGACTTGAAGTGATTGTTTTTGAACTTTTCATTAACAGAGAAATATTTGATCCGGCAGAAAAGTACAAAATGGACCACAGGAGGAGAGGAATTGCTTTAATCTTCAATCATGAGAGATTCCTTTGGCACTTAACACTGCCAGATAGGCGGGGCACCAGCGCCGACAGAGACAATCTTACCCGCAGGTAGTTTATCTGCATATCAACATGAGGCAGTTAAGTGATAACGCAATTACTTTTGGCCAGGTGTGGTGGCTCATGCTGGTAATCCCAGCGCTTTGGGAAGCCAAGGTGGGAGAATCATTTGAGGCCAGGAGTTTGAGACCAGTCTGGACAACAGATCGAGACCCTGTCTCTACAAAAAATAAAAATCAATTAGCTGAGCATGGTGGCAGTGGTCCCAGCTACTCTGGAAGCTGAAGGGGAGACGATGGCTTGAGCCCAGGATCCTGTTCAAGGCTGTGATGAGCTGTGGTCATGCCATTGCACTCCAGCCTGGGTGACAGAGTGAGACCTTGTCTCTAAAATAAAAAATAATTTTTTTCCAGGCTTCCAAAAGAAAACTTAAAAAAAAAAAGTTCTTAATTAAAATTCCAGACTCCTAGAAGGGTAGGGAAAAAAGTTACTTATAACTTGTCAACACTAATGAGATAACAGATCAAATGTTTAAGGATGGGCCTCACTTTGTAGCCTCCCTTAGGAACTTGCCTGAGTTATCTTCCTTAGTCTGTTCTATTAAATGTTGACAGGCTTTGCGTTTTTTTTTTTTTTCTTTCAGGCTTTGCATTTTTACTAACATTTGCATAGTAGATAACAATACTCTAAATTGATTTGGCTATCATTATGATTAAATCCTTTCCTACCATGGTGAATGAAGGGAAAATCACCATTGTTATATTTATTTTCTTTTCTCCTAAAGAAAGCAAGTTGATGTGTCAAAATGTGTATAGATTCCTCCAAAGTAAGGGTATTTGATGACTTTGAAAAGTTTATAGGCTAACATTTCATTTAATATATCACTAGGTTTTCAGATCTAGGATTTGAAGTGAAATGCTTTAACGATCTTAAAGCAGAAGAACTACTGCTCAAAATTCATGAGGGTAGGTAGTTTTGCTATTACATAGTTCATCTTCCTCTAATGAGATTGAGTCCTTTATCCTCTCTGTAGACAGGTACAAGTAATTACTTGTGTGACCAAAAAAAGGTGTTAATTTAGCACAGGTTACAGGTTTTGGGTGTGCATCTATGTTTCTGTTAGCCAGCACAATTAGAGACCCTTGCAAAGAATTGTGCCTCTAAAGTCTATATTTAGCATACCACTAGTTACAGTCTGTTACTGTAGAAGTGAATGAGATGACCCCTTCAACTGGCAGTGAAAGCCTAAAAGCAAATACTACATTTTCGCATTGACTCCTTTCAGGCCCCATTTTCTCACTGGTTTCCAAGTAGTGTTGGTTTACATACATTACCTCCTTTAATTCCCACAACATCAATATGGGGTAGGTATTTTAATTACAACCTATATTATAATCATCACTGCATGCCATGGGTATTCAAATCATTTGCCAACCATTATATTTGCATAATTACTTTAAACTTTCTTCAGAGCTCTTCTTTAAACTGCGTATCATTTTAACTTTGTCTGCTTAACAGCTTTTCTACTTTGCTCAGCAGCTTTGGAGGACATCAGTCTTATGTCACTGCACCTGACCTTGAGAACACTTTTGGAAGTTCTAAGTGCTGTCATCTTTTGAGACAGAGTCTCACTCTGTCCCCCAGGCTGAAGTGCAGTGGCGTGATCTTGGTTTGCTGCAGCCTCCATCTCCTGGGTTCAAGCGATTCTCCTGCCCCAGCTTCCCAACTAGCTCACCACCATGCCCAGCTAATTTTTGTATTTTTAGTAGAAATGGGGTTTCACTATGTTGGCCAGGCTGGTCTCGAACTCCTGGCCTCAAGTGATCTACCTGCTGGATTACAGGCTTGAGTCACCATGCCCAGCCCTAAGTGTTGTATTCCTATAGTGAACGTGCAGCAGCACGTGGGGAGTTGTTGAGCAGCAGTTCCTGGGTCTTTCCAGTCTGCTCTAAGGTCTCTGCTAATTCAAGGAAATTTTTAGTTTATTGCCAAAATAACTTGGATCTTAAGTGAGCTTCCCTATCATAATCCCTTTATGTTTTCCACATCATTCTGTGTTTTAAAAGGCTAATGAAATTTGGTCAAATTCTATTGCTCTGAACTTTAATATGGATTTTTAAAACAATCAGATATAGTAGGGTATAAATTATTCTGTTTGATTACAGACTAAAATAAGTTTCATGACAGATATTTTATACATATTAGAGAATAGGCTGGGCATGGTGGCTCACGCCTGTAATCCCAGTACTTTGGGAGGCTAAGGTGGTGGGATCACCTGAGGTCAGGAGTTCGAGACCAGCCTGGCCACATAGTGAAACTCTATCTCTACGAAAAATGCAAAAATTAGCTGGGTGTGGTGGTATGCATCTGTAATCCCAGCTACCTGGGAGGCTGAGGCAGGAGAATCACCTGAACCTAGGAGTCAGAGGTTGCAGTGGGCCAAGATCATGTCACTGCACTCCAGCCTATGCCTGGGCACCAAGAGCAAAACTCTGTCTCAAAAAAAAACAAAACAAAAAAGAGACAATAATAATATTTTCTCCTTTCCAATCATGTGGATGTAACTTTAGTATTAGTAAATGGAATTTTTATGTGTAGATAACAGGCATTGTGTTTTCATTTCTATATTCTCTTTTGGGGCCTTTATAGTGTCAACCTCTAGCCACACAGATGCCGATTGCTTTATGTGTGTCTTCCTGAGCCATGGCGAAGGCAATCACATTTATGCATATGATGCTAAAATTGAAATTCAGACATTAACTGGCTTGTTCAAAGGAGACAAGTGTCGGAGCCTTGTTGGAAAACCCAAGATATTTATCATTCAGGTAAGACTGATTACATTATCAATCTTTTTTTTTTTTTTTGAGGTGGAGTCTCACACCATTACCTGGGCTGGAATGCAATGGTGTGACCTCAGCTCACTGCAACCTCCACCTCCTGGGTTCAAGTGATTCTCCTGCCTCAGCCTCCCGAGTAGCTGAGACTACATGTGCACACCACCACGCCCAGCTAATTTTTGTATCTTTAGTAGAGACAGGGTTTCACCATGTTGGCCAGGATGGTCTCGATCTCTTGACCTTGTCATCTACCTCTTTATATGCCTCGCCTCCCGAAGTGTTGGGATTATAGGCATGAGCCACCGCGCCCGGTCTACATTATCATCTTAATTATAAAGTCTGTTATTCTGAACATATGATAAAGGTCTAAAAGCCAATTTTGAAAGTAACTTTCTCCAGTAATTGGACAGGCCACTTTTGAATTCTGGCCAATCAGAGTTGCACTTTGAGCTCTTAGTAATAATTGACACTCACATTATCTGTATTATAAAATGACAGCATTTGGATTGACATTTGAAGCAACTCATAAAGTAACTAGCAGGCTACTCCCTGGGAAAGCCTGGTGTCAAGGTAGAGCCACTGGAAAAAGTACCTGCTGATGGAAGAGTGCCGTGCAAGGCATCGTCAGAATAAGTTTGCTTCTTTGGGAGGCAGAGAGCATATAAAGCAGTGTAAAGAATGGAAGATTAAGCCTTGTCTCATCCCTTTCACATTTTCCCTTAAACCAAGATTGTTTCCCCTATGCCACATTGGTTTTAGGGATAAAGGTATTTTTGGTGGGCATGGTGGTCCATGCCTATAATCCCAGTACTTTGAGAGGCAGAGGTGGGCAGATCACCTGAGGTCAGGAATTCAAGACTCATCTGGAAACATGGTGAAACCTCATCTCTACTAAAAATACAAAAATTAGCCAGGCATGGTGGTGGGCAGCTGTAATCCTAGCTACTCGGGAGGCTGACGCACGAGAATTGCTTGAACCTGGGAGGCAGAGGCGGCAGGAAGCTGAGAGCACACCACTGTACTCAAGGCTGGGCATCAGAGCGAGATTTTGTCTCAGAAAAATAAGACCCCAAAAATTTTTTTTGCATAGATTATTACTTGGCACATCATTAAGGATTTTTTTTTTTTCTTTGAGATGGAGTCTCGCTCTGTCACCCAGGCTGGAGTACAAGGTGCAATCTTGGCTCACTGCAACCTTTCCACCCCACCCCCAACCTGGGTTCAAGCAATTCTCCCACCTCAGCCTCCCAAGTAGCTGGAATTACAGGCACCCACTATCATGTCCAGCTACTTTTTGTATTTTTGTAGAGATGGGGTTTCACTATGTTGGCCAGACTGCTCTTGAACTCTTGAACTCAGGTGATCTGCCCAACTCCACCTCCCAAATTGCTAGGATTACAGGCGTGAGCCATTGCACCCTGCTACAAATTTTGACCTACAAAAGAGAAACCTGACATGCCGGTGCCACGATTCTGTATTACCATGAATGACATAGAGAACATGAAACATTATGTTAGTCTATTGCATTGCTATAAAGAAATACCTGAGTCTGGGTAGTTTATAAGGAAAACAGATTTGATTAGCTCACAGTTCTGCAGGCTGTACGGGAAGCATGGTGCTGGCACCTACTCCTGGTGAGGCCTTAGGAAGCTTACAATCATGGTGGAAGGTGACGGAGAGCCAGCATATGATATGGTGAGAGTGAGAGCAAGAGAGCACCAAGGGGGAGGTCTCAGACTCTCTTAAATATCTAGATTTCATGTGACCTGAAAAAGAACTCACTTATCACCAAGGGGATGATGCTAAACCATTCATGAGAGATCCTCCCTGCTGATCCAGTCACCTTCCACCAGGCCCCACCTCCAACACTGGGAACCACATTTTAACATGAGATTTGGAAGGGACAAACATCCAAACCATATCAAACATGAAACTCATTTCGCATCCTACCATAAAGCCTTGTTTTGGGGCAAGGAAATGGCCATAAGAAGTGAAGGATGACTGCCTCATTTCTGGTTTGGACACCTGCATTGGAGTATCTGTGGGACATGGAATTGGTGATACAGGTGTACAACCTAAGACAGGTGGCCTCGGGTGGGGAAATAAATCAGGTGGCGGCCATGGAAGCCATGGGATTAGATGAGCTTACCCATGTTGAATATAGCCTGAAAAATGAGTGTAAAACAAAACCACGGCGCACCCATGAGTTAATGGGCTGAAGAGGGAAGATACTGAGGAGGATGGACACCAGGGGAAAAGTCAGAAACAAAGAATTACCTGATTGTTTCATGAAAAAGCAGTGGCCAACACTGTCAAACAAGATAATTGGAAATAACTAATGAGCTACTATGGGAAGAAAGTCACAATGGAAGGAAATTGTTTGCCAAGTTATTTTATCTCTCTATGCTTTAGATTCTTATCTGTGAAACCAGGGTAAAAGTAGCACCTGTCTCATGGGGTGGTTGTGAGGGCAAAATCACCTGACTTAATGAATGAAAGCCACTTAGAATAGTGCCTGGCATATGGTAAGCCCTCAGTAAAGGCTCCCTCTTACTGCATTTGACTTGGCAGGTGATGTCATCAGGTTAAAGGTGTTCTATGTTATATTTAGGAAGGACAGTAGAAAACAAGGCCTGTAAATAAGCCTGCTGATACCAAGATTAAAATCTCCCTATAAAAATGGGATATTAGGGATTTTCTATTTATTTTTGATTTGAAATTGGGACTTTTTTGATGTTTATAATTCTTCAACCATTTCAGAACTGATTGATGCATTTATAATGTTACAGCAGAATCTTATTAGGTGACTGTATTCGTGTATAGGGTGGCCATAACAAAGTACCACAGACTGTGGGTTTAAACAGCAGGGATTTATTGTCACAGTTCCGGAGGCTAGAAGTCTGAGATGAAGGTGTGGGGAGGGTTGGTTTCTTCTGTGGCTTCCCTTGGCTTGCAGGTGGCCGTCTTGTCCCTGTGCCTTCATATGGTCTTCTATGCATGTCTGTGTCCCAATTTCTTATGAAGACAGCTGGTTATGTTGGATTTGGGTTCACTCATATCATCTCATTTTATCTTAATCACCTCTAAAGGCCCTGTCTTCAAATACAGTCATAGTTGAGGTATTAGGGCTAGGACTTCAACATACGAATTTTTGGGGAACACAGTTCAGCCTGTAAAAGAAGTCACTTGTGAGTCAGAATTTAACGTTAATTCTGAGTGAGTCTAAATTTAATGTAAATTGAGTCAGAATTAGTGGATAAACATTTGATACCTCACTTTTTAACGGGCACACAAGGAAAAAGGTGCATCTCCTCAGGTCAGACTGGATGTCATTTTAACTCCTAACAACTTATAGCAGCAGCCAGGCAAGCAAAACCATCTGGAAATACTGTCTGACTAAACAGAAATGCTTAGGTAAATACTAGAGCTTTTCAAAGGGAAGGTAACGCAGTGTGCCCTGGGTGTGCCGCAAGCTTTTTCCTCTACAGTATACCTTTCAACAAACATAATTTAATGATACTTGGGGATGCCAATTTGTTCTTATTAACTAAAAGAAAACATAAGTAGGGAAACAACTTTGTTGGCTTTAAGTTCCCTTTAAACCTGAATGTATTGCTTCTGAAATGCTCAGCATGTGGTTACTGTTGTAATGAAGGTGTACTGGCTTATACATTCACTGAACACATTAAGCACTAGGAAGGAAACGGTAGGCAAAGAGGTGGGTTTTTTCCCTCCTCCTCTTGTAGGCATGTCGAGGAAACCAGCACGATGTACCGGTCATTCCTTTGGATGTCGTAGATAATCAGACAGACAAGCTGGACACCAACGTGACTGAGGTGGATGCAGCCTCCGTTTACACACTGCCTGCTGGAGCAGACTTCCTCATGTGTTACTCTGTTGCAGAAGGTGTGTGGTGTTTAAGACAAACATCATTTGCCTCTCTTGTCTAAGGTCCTGTAAGTTTCACCTTTGATTGGTTTGGGTCAGGTCTTTTTTTTTTTTTTTTTTTCCTGGCAACTTTCATTTAAATGGGTCAGGTCTTTCTATTGGGACATAGTGATTCCATCCTGAAGCTCACAGACTTAGAATTTCTTTGACAGGGCACAGACTGATAAGTGAAAGTGTAAAATACCTTACAGAAAAAGCATTCCTGAGAGATATTAAGCAACGAGTATAATTATATTAATATTAGCAGCCTACCAGCAGTTACTGAGGGTGGTAGTGTCATTGTGGTAATTGTCATGGAAAGCTTTTTTTTTTTTTTTTTTTTTTTGGAGACAAGGCCTCACTCTGTCCCTGAGGCTAGAGTGCAGTGGCATGTTCATGGCTCACTATAGCCTTGATTTCTAAGGCTTAAGTAATCCTCTCACCTCAGCTTCCCAGTAGCTGGAACTATAGGCATATACCATCATGCCTGGCTCATTTTAAAATTTTTCTTTAGAGACTGGGTCTTGCTTGTTGCCTAGGGTGGTCTCAAACTCCTGGGCTCAAGTGATCCTCTGGCAATGGCCTCCCAAAGTGCTGGGATTACAGGCATGAGCCATTGCACCCAAGCATGAAAAATATTTTTTGGTTTGAGAGAGTCTCACTGTTACCCAGGCTGGAGTGCAGTAGCGCAATCTTGGCTCACTGCAACCTCTGCCTCCCTGGTTCAGGCGTTTCTCCTGCCTCAGCCTCCCAAGCAGCTGGGATTACAGATGCCCGCCACCAAGCCCAGTTAATTTTTGTATTTTTAGTAGAGACGGGATTTCACCATGTTGGCCAGGCTGGTCTCAAACTCCTGACTTCAAGTGATCTGCCTCTCTCAGCCTCCCAAAGTGCTGTGATTATAGGCGTGAGCCACCATGCCCAGCTGAAAAATATTTTGATAATGGTTCTTCTTTGCTTTCATAGTAAATAATTTTGTTTGGCTTCTTTCTAGTAATCTCATGTCTTTCAAATCATTGTCTCACTATCTTGGGAATTTTTTAGGAAATGGAGGAAATTATATAGAATTAACCCCATATATAAAAAACTATAGAATTAATCTTTCCCCATTTGAAAAGAGTAAAAAAAAATTTTTAACCATATATATCATGGACATATCTTAGTCTTTTCTAAGGATTTTTAAGAACTTACACTTCTATAAAGTTATTTTTCACTCATAGTAATTGAAAGCTGGAAAACTACAGCAACATTTTCCTCCTCATTTTTTTAGGATATTATTCTCACCGGGAAACGATCAATGGCTCATGGTACATTCAAGATTTGTGTGAGATGTTGGGAAAATATGGCTCTTCCTTAGAGTTCACAGAACTCCTCACACTGGTGAACAGGAAAGTTTCTCAGCGCCGTGTGGACTTCTGCAAAGACCCAAGTGCGATTGGGAAGAAGCAGGTTCCTTGCTTTGCCTCAATGCTAACTAAAAAGCTGCATTTCTTTCCAAAGTCTAATTAATAGGGGCGATCTTATCTTACAGTCTGTATTGAAAATGTCTTTCTCTTCTTTTTATATAAATATCGTTAGGTTAAGCATATGGTCAGTGATTCAAATGTTTTAATGTTTAGTGCCCAGCAAAGAACTGCCTTAAAAAAAAAAAATAGTTCATGTTGGCCATGGGGAAAGGGTTTGATATGCAGAAACAAAATCCTCAGGAAATTAAATAATTTACAAGCATTTGTAATACTTTTTAGTATTACAAAAAAGTAGGATTACACAAAAATCTGGCTGATTTAATTAGTATTTTGTCACATTTTAAATGAAAGTTTTTATAAAAGTTGTTTTTAAAGGTTTTGAAATCCAATAATTAAATCATCCCTTATAAAATATTTGAAATTCATATTTTATTACATTTTTCTAACATTCTTATTCATTTGTGTAATTTGTAGTTTTTACTTGGTCATATAAACGTTTAATATTTCATCTACATGTGAATTACCACATTTTGTGTATGACTTTAATTCCTACTTTTTAAAAAATCAGCATTTCAGAATTGTTATATGGCATTCTGAGGATGAAACAGAAAAATAGTAATTCTTAGCCACTATAGGCCGAACATCTGCAAATTCTGATTCTGTCAGCATCTTCCATGTTAAGTTCCAAGAAACAGTCCAACCGTCATCAGACTCATTCTTCACACACGATCACATTAATAGAATAATAGATGTTACCCTTTAGGTTCAATTCTTATTAATATGATATACAGAATATGAATAATACTGTTTTGTTAATAACCTGACAGAGGCCGAAGAAAGTTAAGTGTTTGGGCTTTGATACCTGAAACTTGTGATTTGCAGGTTCAAAAGCCATCATTTATATACACAGTTTCAGTTGAAGCTCAAAAACTATCAACTATACTTTATGGTTAGTGAACATTTATGCCTTTTTGATAAATAAATGATAAAAAGATCTTAATCCCAACGATTGCATATTAAAAAAAGTTAACAAGATGATTCCATAGGAGGTTGAGGCAGAAGGGTTGCTTGAGCCCAGGAGTTTGATTTGGCAAGACCTGGTCTCTAATTTTTTTTAAAAGATGATTCCAAATGATGTCTAAGAGTGAAAGTGAATGCCAAGCACAGACCCTTTCATCTCCATATAGAGAATAAACATGGGACAAGGTGACAAGGATTTTTGGCTAACAGCAACCACTGTTGCTTTGATAGACACATACAAGCCATTTCTAACATTAGCAAATCATAAAAATCCACAAAGTAAAAATCTCAGTTGCGAACTTCAAACAATACTTCTGTTTTACAAGAATTTATTAACCAAAGAAACAATTGAACAATCAAATTGAAGTGAACCATGGGACTCAAAAACATCTTAAGTTGCAAAATCAATACATAATGGAAAATCCAATGACATTTAAAAATGTAAGATTAATTCTTTTCATTGAGTTCCTCTACTTGCATTTGCAAATAGAGAGAATGGTGCACCTGTTTCAGGGATTCTTTAGCCTGTCATGGGAAAAAGAAAAAGCATGTGGTCAGAAAGAATGAGAAACATACTAACATTACTGCTTGAGAGGAATTCTATAAACTTAACATCTCCTTACAGCAATAAAATATTAAAACTATTACTGGCAAATGGCTAAACTTTTTTTTTTTTTTTTTGAGATGGGGTTTCATTCTGTCACCCAGGCAGGAGTGCAGTGGTGCCATCTTAGCCCACTGCAACCTCCACCTCCCTGGTGCAAGTGATTCTCCTGCCTTTGCCTCCCAAGTAGCTGGGACCACAGGTGCTTACCATCATGACTCCCTAATTTTTTTTGATTTTTTTTGTAGTGATGGCGTTTCGCCATGTTGCCCAGGCTGGTCTTGAACTCCTGGACTCAAGTGATTTGCCCACCTTGGCTTCCCAAAGTGATGGGATAAATATTTCAATTTTATATATGGATCTTTTAAACTCTACTTTATTACCTTAATAAAACTTAAAGTGTTATATTTAAAACTTTTTTTTTTTTTAGAGATAGGGATCTTATCTCACTCCGTCACAGGCTGGAGTGCCATGTGGTGTGATCATAGTTCACTGCAGCATTGAACTCTTGGGCTCAAGGGATCCTCCTGCTTCAGCTTCCTAAGTAGCTGGGGCTACAAGCATGTAGCTGTAAATTGGGGCTACAAGCACCACACCCGGATAATTTTTTAAAAACATTTGTAGAGATGAAGCCTTCTCTCCAACTTGTGGACTCGAGAGATCCTCCCACCTTTGCCTCCCAAATCATTGGGATCATGCCAGGCTTACCTTCTAAATCTCAAATACACTGTCCTATATAAATGAGCTGAAAGAATATTCCTTAGCCTTCTCAGATGGGATTATTCAAATATAAGGGAATCCACAAAAAAAGATTTTTAAAGCATTGTATTTTTCCTACAGAAAGATTATATGAAATAAAAAATATTTTTAAAAAGGCTTGGCTGGACATGGTGGCTCACGCTTGTAGTCCTAACACTTTGGGAGCCTGAGACAGGTGCAACACTTGAGGTCAGGAGTTTGAGACCAGCCTGACCAACACAATGGAACTCCATCTCTACTAAAAATACAAAATAGTAGCCAGGCGTGGTGGCGGGCACTTGTAATCACATCTACTCGGGAGGCCAAGTCAGAAGACTTGCTTCAACCCAGGAGGCAGATGTTGCTGAGCTGAGATTGTGCCACTACACTCTAGTCTGGGTAACAAGAAAGCTCCATCTCAAGGGGGAAAAAAAAATAAAAATAAAGGCTCTATGATTTTTAGACTACAAAATTTGAGTAATTCTTTTTTAAATTTTAGGGATGCATACTAAACAAGCATGCATTGAGCAATGGAGGATATTTTTATCAGAACTTTTTTGTTATGAAATTACTGATAAAAATGAAAAATCCAGTGATGTGCTGAGAAGTCACCATCTGAACAAAGTTAATGAGTAAGTTGGGAGACCAGAGATAACTGCCTGACAAACAGATTGTGAAAAAGTACTTAAGAATATAGACTCCGAAATCAAACTTGTGTTCATACCATGGTTCCTTCACTTTATAGCGGTGTATACCTAAGCGACTTTCAAAAGGGAAAAGACAAAGGGAGGAATACTATGATTCTTCTATCTTTAGGGAAAGGAAACGTACATGCCTTAAATTCCTTATCATAGTGTTTGCCTTCCTAAAATTCTAATTTTTATTTACTTAGAAATTCATTTAAAAAATTTTAACACACGCATTTAAAGTTATCTTCATGTAGGGAAGAGTAAAACTGGGATATGAGATTAATATGAAATGTGTCAACTGTTTCAATGAACAATCCCATAGCACATAGAAATCTAGGACCAAGATTTAACTTGTGAGGATGAACCACCAATTGTGTCTCCCTGATACTAAGTTCTGGCTCCCAAACAAACCAGCCGTAAGATGTATTTGTAGTACAATACCTTAGCAAGGTCATCTTTTAACTTGTTGTATTGCTCCACATCAAAATGCTGTTGCTTCGATTTCTTGTGGAAAAACTGAAGAAACTGCCTACTCTTAACAGCTGAGTAAGTATAATCCTTAAAAAAACAAAAGAAAATAACATGTTTTGAATGAACATAACGCCTCTGGCAATAAAGATACTTGACTCAGCAACACCAAAGCAAAAGAAGGCAGATGAATGAATAAAATATTTGCAGTGGTCATGAGGGTAAGCATAACCCAACACAAGTAAAACATTCAGTCTCATTTAAGATCTGCTGCTCCTTTCAAAAGCAGGCAAACTTGAAAGAGAAATGAAACATAATGGGAAAGCAGGGGGAAGAAAAAAAGGGAGATTGTTGGCATATTAAATAACCATGAGACAAAGTTAATGTTACTGAATGTTTTGCAATGCAAATTCAGGTTTATTTATAAATGAGAGCACAGAGAACACAAATTTGACATGTTTATCCCAATGGAGGAATTTCTGTGTTATACTAATTATTTCTCCGTAGAAGTTATATATAGCTTCTCTGTGAGTCTTCATCCAGTCTCGTGAAAAACAATTAAAAAAATTTACCAGCTCATAGAAGCCCAGATGGCAGTAATTCAGTAAATAAAAAAGCTTTATTGTTGAATGCTTAGATAAGACATTATTTGCAAAGATGTTCTGATTTACCATTTTCCTAACAAACTACTCACCTGTCGAGTGACTACAAAGTATGCAAAAAAGACCATAGAATTTGCAAATGTGATGAAGTATGTAACTGGTTCCATGATATCCCAGGAGTACACCCACCACGTGAGCCAGGCCAGTGCCCCACCCTGAATGGACAGCAGTGCCAATCCAGCCCACAGGAGTCCACTGGTTTTGGCTTCTGAATGAGCTTCGATTCTAGCTTTCACCTGAGGGGGAATGAAAAACTGTTAATTCCGTTTACAAATACACCAACTAAAGGGGACAATAAGCAAGATGAAAAGGAACTCTTACTTTGAAGAGGTCAGATATATGGAAAAACAATAGAAACATACATGAATGAGTTACTCATTTCCAAGTCAGCTCATTAATCTTAAAAATTATAAAGGTAATAACTGCCCTTGAAAAAATGAAACTTATAGAAAAGTATACAATGAAAAACTCAGAAGTCATCTTCTGAACTCCAACTAAAATCAGAGGTCTATTTGACCTAGCAATTCCACTTCTAGGAATTCATCCTGCAACTCCCAACTGCATACACAAAACCCATTACAGATTCATTCTTAATAGCAGAAGTCCAAAATAATCCATATGCCCATCAAGACATTACACAACTGTAACAAAGCTCTGTGTCAATAAGGGGAGATTTCTATAATACACTGGGAAAAAAGATGAGAATAGTGTAAAATAGTGTGCTTTCTTTTCTGAGAAAGAACAAAATAAGAATATATTTGTATATAGATAAAATCTGAAATGATTCATAGGTGTGGAGAATATAGTAACTGGGAGGATAAGGTGGGAGGAAAATTTTAGATTAAAAAAAAATTTTTAAGACAGTGTTTTGTTCTTGTTGCCCAGGCTGGAGTGCAATGGCGTGATTTCAGCTCACCGCAACCTCTGCCTTCTGAGTTCAAGCGATTCTCTTGCCTCAGCCTCCCAAGTAGCTGGGATTCCAGGCATGTGCCACCATGCCTGGCTAATTTTTGTAATTTTAGTAGAGACAGGGTTTCTCCATGTTGGTCAGGCTGGTCTTGAACTCCCAATCACAGGTGATCCACCGGCCTCAGCCTCCCAAAGTGCTGGGATTACAGGGGTGAGCCACTGCGCCCAGCCAGGTTTTAAAATTTTAATCCAAGTAAATATATTACAAGTAAAGAAAAAAAATGGTAAACAAAAAATAAAAGTCCCTCTCTCTGCTATCCTCCAAATATGCTTAGAGGTAATTGCTATTAAAACTTCCTTATATCTCCAGAAACTTTCCATTCATATTCAAAGATACACATATACCTTCCCATTTAAATAAAAATCACAAATGGGTAAGTCTAAAGAATGCAATTCTTTCCCTTGAAACAAATTTCCCCAGCTATCCCCTCAAATCAAAGTTATTTTTTCCACACTATTGATTAACTTGAGGCTAGCCATTACCAGCTTTCCAGCTGCAATTCTGTTAGGCAGAGCACAGGTGCTGGGCCTATTCTCTAAAAAGGAAAGGGAGGTAGGACT